GCTGCAGAGCCCGGCAGCTGTTCCAGCAGCACAAACAGGATCGAGACTCCGCCTTTATGACATGAAGTAAGGAGGGAAAAGAATCCATATCCACTAAAACCAGCAGAGAGAAGGTAAATGGCCAGAATGTAATTACCTCAGCTGGAATGTGGCCAGGATGCCAGATTAACACTTCTCTTCTGTGAAGCTGGCTGAGGGGTGGGTATGGCCAAAAGCAGGCAGGGGCTTGGCGTCCAGTTCTGCTGTGTAGTCATTCCAGAAGGGCTGAGAGATGTATATATTACCTGTGAGATGTATATATTGCTTGTTTAGCGCCTAGAGCACCCCAGGGCTAAGGGGGGAGTGGATCCTGTGAAATCTGATAGCACTGTCTGGGGTTAGGAGTGCAGGCTGAAAACATTCCATGAAACTTGTAAAATTCACAGATGGTCAGGCCTTGGTATTGTCTGCTGCAGAGGAAGGAAAGAGAGGTTAAAAAAGCCCTGCCAGAGGGACTGTAGCAGGGAAAGGATGAAAGCTCAGGGTCCTCCCCTTAGATTGTTGCTCCCTTGAAGAGTGATGGATGTTTTCCTGAGGTTTATTTCAGGCCAGGRAAGTTTGCCATAGAAATGTGCGCTGGCTGCCTTTGAAACGCCTTAGTACCTGCTCAAAATGAGTCAATGTAAGTTATAGCGGAAACAACAGTGAGTTGGATGTGAGAAACGCTTACAAATAAGTGGGAGGGGAGAATYTGGTGAAATCACAGTGTGGGCGAGGAATAGAGGTGAAGTGGGGACCGTTTCAAATACTAGAAATAAGAGGACACAGAGGGGTGATAGCATTCGCTGCATTAAATTGCAGCTGTCAACTGTAGAGCTGCAGAAAAGGCAATACAAGGGAAGTTCCCAGCAGTGAAATCGAACACAGATGTCTAAGTAAGTGTTTTTTTGAGCAACGGGACAAATTAAGCCAATTTTTCTCAGTTTTGTTCTTCTCTTCCCTATAACACTGGAAGTTGCTGAGAGGTTTTAAAGACACTGGCATTGTGCACTGGGGCTTATTTTGTTGGGAAACCAGCTCAAAAAGAAGACAGAAAGAGCAAAAGGTTTCTTTTGGGTTAGAAATGAGTAGAGGAAAACATTCTACCCAAGTTAACGAACTTGAGGGTTTCTAAACTTGTATTATTCATCCTAGATCTCTGCCTAGCAGTATCCAGAAAATGAGGGTATTGGAATGTGCTAGTGYTTCCTTTCAGATACACAGAAGGCAGCGGGGTGGCGGGTTTTTGCTTTAGTGGAAGGGAAACCAAAAACTTCCTTTTTATCCTGATCTCTTGTCACATTAGAATAAGAAAAGCAGGTGCACAAAAGGGATTAAATCTGCAGCTACCTTCATCCGCATCACGCCTTAATGGCCTTGACAGAGCTTCCCGAAGGAAGGACTTGCCACCCTGGGGCCGATCCTGAAAGCTTTTTCTTTGGGAATTGGGAGAAACGTCTTCTCAGTTTCTGGCTTTAAGTGCAGGTCTTTTTTTTTGTGCTTTTGCTCCAGCAAAGTCCTGAAAGGCATTTGCTGTCCCCCAGCTTCATCCAGCAAGTCTCCATGTGGGGCATTAGGGACCTGCGTGTTAGGGCAACGTGGGTGAGTTCAGCGATGGGAATGTTCATTTTAATGTTAATTTGGTCTTTATGCTGTGCAGTGCAGTAGGACTCTGTCCTTTTCTATTATTATTCATTTTTGTTCCCTTTTTCCCTTTCTATAAAAATGTGAATACTTTTCCTGAGAACCTYGGAAGTTGCAATAGCCACTCCTGCCCTTCTGTATTAACTTGTGGGATGTTATTTCCCATCACTGGACAAACAGAGGGACCCGGTATTTCCCCTTCTGCTTTTTTTTTTCCTCTTCACCTTGGTTTAAAAATGTGGTTTCTCCTTGCGCACACGTGTAAACGCCTGTTAAAATGTGCAGAGTGGTGGAAAAGTGGTTTCTTGCAGCTTTAAAGTGCTCATGTTTTATTAAAACTGAGATTCCCAGAGCTCCAGGGCCAGAAGCATACTGCACTTGCCACCTTCTCCTCTCCTGTATGTAAAAGCATTATTTCTTGCCTGGGAAATCCTCTGGTTCCCCCAAATTTCTCCATATGTGGGTTTTGGAGTGTGATTTCATTCCTGTAGTTACGAGTGCCTTTCAAAGGGACTCTTAACATATACAAAATATATGGTTAAAGTGCGTAAAAGCAATGAAACAGAAATTGCTGAATCTGTTGCATTTGGCTTTGTTGCAAGAAAATAGCTGGCACTATTAGTCGGCATTTATTTTTCTCTTATTTTTTGGCTCTGTCACCATGTTTTGCATGGTTTGCTTGCTGCTTATCACCCTTTATCTTACATAGCTGCTGTGACTTAGTAACATTAAATCACTTTCTGCACCACTGCAGTATTTAAACTTACTTTGCCCTTGTTCATGCGCAGCGATAATTTGCAATGTTAACCCAAGCCACGTAGGTCTAGTTCCTCACCTAAATCTGCCATGSAAACAAAATCCTGGTAGAGTTTTACTGGTTGTCAGCAGGACGCACAGCATGTCTGTGTGTTTTTGCATCAGCTGGCTGGATGGAGCATGGTTGTTTTCTATGTGTTTTTGCGTCCTGTGACGAGAGCACAGTTGTTTTCCACAACCATCCCTGACTAGCAACTGCCTGGTTGCAGCCCCAGCAGATCTTGATAGCCATTGCTATGGTCTTACCCACAGGGCGGAGGAAACGAGTTTCATACGCGACGCTGATAGCCCCAACGGCTCCCTAACGGTTTCCTAACGGCTGCTCCGTGAGGCGACGCGGTGAGGCGACTGCGCACGTGCCCGCCCTTAGGCGGGAAACGCGCCCGCCCCTAGTGAGCATGCGCAGTAGCTGTCGGCTCCCCGCTCCCGAGTGCGCAGGCGAGACCCCGGGAGCCGGAGCCGAGAATCTTCGGCTCTTCTCGGTAATTTCCGGATCGAAGCCCCTCCTTCAGGTGCCTAGMCCCCGCCCTCTTCGCCCTTCGGCAATCTCCGCCTCCGTTTCGGCAATCTCCGCCCKCTCTTCGGCTCAGGCCGTTAAGTTCCGTCTCCTCTTCGGCAGCTTCCGCCAGTCCGGTCGGAAATGGCCGAAGACGTGAGAGATCCAGCGGTTTAGGAGGGGGGGAGAAGCGCGGCCGGCTTCTCGGAACGAACCAACCGCGTTTGGACCGGGGGGGGGTTGGGGGGGGAGCAGGAGAAGGCGAGCGGCGGGGGGAGGACGAGGCAGCGGCTATGGCCCCCCCCCCCGGCCCCTCACGCACGGCGGCGCGGCGGGCGCCGGCAGCGCGGCTCTGCCAGGAGGGTGAAGTGAGGGCACCGAGAGGTACGGAGGACCCTACGACGGGCGGGCGTTGGGGGGTAGGAGACGCCCCCCCCCCCGGGGGGAATCGTTGGGTCGGGTGCGTGGCACAAGTGGTATAGTCCGGGGGAAGCCCCCCCTCCCCCCTGGGGGGGGTGGGGGTCGCTCTGAGGCGACCCTGGGGTGGGGGGGAAGACACAGGGCGCCCTCAGGGTTGGGGTCGCTATGAGGGCGGCTCCGCCAGGGGTGGGGGCCCACGGGGGGGTTCCCCAGGGTGGGAAGGGATGGGGAGACCCTCGGGATTGAGGGCAGTGGAGGGTTGGGGTTATGGGGGGTCCCTCAGGGTGGGGGGCCCTYATGGCGGGAGGGCTGCGATGGCGCCACTGAGGGGCTGCAGCCTTCCTGCCTATCCCGGTCCTCCTTCCYGCCTCCTTCCCTCCATGGGGGGCCAGGACAAAGCCCCCAGGGTCCCTTGTCCCTTCCCTGGCCAACATCTACCAACCTCTCCCTGCCCCCTCCCGGCTCCTGAAGCCACCGGTGCCCCCCRCTTTGCTCTGAGGCCACTTTGGATGCCAGGCCCGGTGCCCTCTCCGGCCTCGCGCGATGCTCCGAGGCCTGGCGGGACCCCCGYGCCGGCTACTTCCCTCCCGCCCCATATCGGAGCCTGCAGGAGTTGGTTAAACRCTAAAACGGCGCAAAGACGCTGCGAAAAGAAACAGCCCCCTGAGACGCTCTGCCCTGTTGCTCTGTGCGTGCTAAACTGCAAACATCCAGGCTCCCATGGGCGCTCTGCCCGTCTCCGTTTGCGCGCGCGTCTGAGAAAAGTGCGCGCGGTGATGTCCTGATACCGCAGCTCGGCTTTGAGATCCCCGTGCTTCAGCGTTGCAGCTCGAGTGTCTGCGTAAAGAAGATTAAACAACTTTGTTTCCTGGAGTGGTGCCACGTGCAYGGTGATTTTTTTTTTTTTTTTYCCCCCCCAGATATTCATCTTTCTGTGAAGAGATCTGCACGCAGAAACGCCCCAAAGATTGGAGCCTAACGTAGCTATCRCGGCTGTGTTTTGCACAGCGTTTCTGCTGTTTCTGAGATAGTGCAGTTCTTGGAACGAGGGGCGTGTTTTGTATGTTGTCAGGTTTTATTAAGTAATGACTAATCTTAAAAWGGTTTCTAGGCGAAGGTAACCTCGGTAATGAGCTGTGGTCTGGTTACATGGTGCTGGGGTTACGTGGTTTTCCTCCTCCCATTGGGATCCAATAACCTCACGTGTCCTTTGTCAGTCCTGTTGTCACGTGCCACTTTATTCACACATTTTTGTGGTGTCTTTTCAAATTTTCATTTYGGAAAACTAAGAGTTTGCGTTGGTTCGGCTCCGTGTTAAGAGATACTGGAACAGGGGTCRTTGACTGTCTTGGTGTGAGCGCAAATTCAGCCAAATTCTTCTGGCAGCTCAGCTATGGTACAAGCAGTCCTTGAACTTCATGATGTCTTTTTTTTGCAGGAGAGGATCCAAAATAGTTCTCAGCAAGGCTTTAATTTTGCAAGTGGGGAGCATTAGCTCTGATGCTGGTTGCCTGTGAGGATGAGTTTTGGCAGTTGTCGAGACAGAGCAGAAGTGGCAAGTACACATGGAAAAACATTGKTTTTTTTTGAATTCCCTTTGTTCGGCCGATTTCTCAACAATATACAGCAAAATAAGAGGGTTGTCTGGGCTCTGTTAAGGCAGGGATGAGAAAGAATATTTGTAGTGTGGGTCTGCRTGGCTGTTCAGCACTGTCAGCGTGTTCCTACAGTCTCCCTCCTTGTTGCTTGACTCCYGTCGCCTCTCCCACTTCTCTCACCTGTTTTTCCAAGCAATTCCTCCCAATCCCACAGCAGTGACCGCAGCGGGCTGGGAAGAGCAGCCAGTCGCATGCGCCACTTGTTTGAAGCCAAGATCACAGCAGTCAAATGCGAACTGGCTCCCAGTCTGGAGGCAAGATTTCTGTTTTGGAAACTCCACGGAAACACAGGACTGGAAAGGAGCTCCTGGTCATTGAATCCTATCTCCTTAGCAGCTGGATAGTGTTTTTCAAGGTTTGCTGCCTTTCTACTTGTGATCTGGTCTCTAAATACTCCTCTTGGGCAGGAACTGACCATGTTTTGAGRCAATTCCTAGTGCTGGGGCTTTGATCCAGGCTGGATTTTAATTTATTYTAACTATTAACTAAAGAATTGGAATTCAAACTGGAATTTGTGTGTCCTGACCCATGCAGCAAACAAAATAATTGGTTTTTTTTTTCTCCATTTCCTTATGGAGAAGCTGGGGTGAGTTTGCTCACGGTGCTGCAGCTGCAATTTAGAYACACGCCCATAAGCCAAGAGCCCAAAATGCTCCCAGAGAAAGGTTTAAAGCCCTGTTTAGCGGYGATTATTGGGTGAGTTTGCTCCTGTTGGCTGCCTGTCAGATGCAGATACAGTGGGTGATGGTGGATGTTGCCTGAAAAGCCAGTCTGAGGTTTTGGGGTTTGGATAGGAAAGGCGAAGCCGGGCACCCATGCAGCTCGTGGCCGATCAATGCCTCGATTGCCTGGGCGTAGGGAGCCCCGAGCGCCGGCCCGCCAGGCACATTGATGTTCATGTGCAGCCCTTGCAAGGCCAGTTTTGAAGTGCAAATTGAAATCCCATCTTTGCGAAATGATTGCTATTAGTTAATTGATATCTGTTACCAGCAAGAGTGGTTTAGAGGACTGATGAATCTATCAYAAATGGATTGGAAAGGGCATTTTGTAGCGTATGCCCCACACTTGACTTGCTGGACGTTACCTGCAAGAGAATAGCAATTTCATGGCAAGATCCAATACCTTTATGTTTTTAAATTTAAGAGTTTGGTTGCTGAGGAAGTTGAGGATATCCAGTGTTTTATGTAACCTGGCCACGGACAAGCTGTGCTCCCTCTGCTGGTGTCTGCTCTGCTGGCTTGGGGTGTCCACCAGCAATCTGATTTCTTGGGACTACTTTAGTATAATAACACTACAAAGTGACTTGTCTCCTTCAAGTTTAAAACAAGTGATACGTAAAAGGAGGCTTTTTTGAAAGGTGCGGATTGAAACTGGTCTCCAAGTTGGCTGCCCTTCCAGAGACCTTCTTAAATGGTGGGGATCTCATTGCATGGGAATTGAGGATAATATTTTCTACACCTCTGCCMTGTCCCTGTAAATTTTGGTGCATTTAGAAAATGTATAATTTTTCTACAGATGCAGATGACTTCTGGAGAGTAGCCTCCTACACAGGATTAACTCGTGAATGCAAACAAGACCTCATTTTCTCTGCATAATTTCCATCTGCTTGGCCTTTTCTTGGCCCGTTTTCGTAGAATACCCCCTTTTTATGATTCAAAATACTCCAGGTATCTTCCTCTAACTCTCTGTAGGGACTCTAGCAGTGCAGATAGGTGCAGGTTCATTTCATTCTTGTTCTGTTTTGCTCCAAGTGCTGCTGTGTTTTTCGGAGCTGCTACTCTGACATCTGACAGCGTAGGACGGACTTCCCTACTGTTTTGCACTAACCTCTCTGTATCACCACGGTGCTGAGCTGTGTTGTCCCCTCAAATTTGTGCAAATAATTGGTCAACTTCGACCAATATACTTAGTGATGAGCTATGTATTCACAGGGAGGTGAATTACATTTATTTGAAAGCCAGAATGTCTTCGAACAACAAATAAATTGCTCCATGTGTGCATAGTCTCTCTTAGGGGACACTTCAGCACAGGCTGAATACTTTCTGACTCCAATTGAATTGATGATAAATTTGAGCTCGGCAGCTTTACGGGACAGTTGATTCCTCTGCTTCTGTAAAGCAGGGTTGAATTTGCTATCGGGAGCTTTAAATTGGTCCTAAATGGATGCCTGTTGTAGTACATCTAATAGTATATGTGGGTGACTAAGCAAATGTCATCTTCTGAGTTTTAAGAAAGAGAGCAGGCCTATGGCAGCTGATATTAAAAAAAAAAAAAGGGGGGGGATTAAAAAAAAGTCATTGTTTAGGAAAARTATTTCTTTCCCTAGGCATTTCTCTTGGGAAGACCTTGGTGTTTGTAAATAAATGTGCCATCCACCRCCTGCACCTTGGTTTTAATGTGGGGATTGGGGAGGAGGAGGTGGCTATCAGCAACCTAGCCAGGRTTGGATGCTTTGGAAAGCTGCCACTAATTAGCGCGGTGTCTGGCAATTAGCTGCTGTTAAAGCTCCCCTTGCAAGTCCTCAGYTTGCAAGGAAACGTCCAGGAACCGAGGACCTGGAGGAAGAAATAAAAGTGGTCGCCGTAATGGTTGGGTGAGAAAGTCCGAGGCGCTTTTTATGTTGCTGATGCTACTAAAAGCAGAGCACGGATGTGGTGGAGCAGCTAGGATTTGATGCACCCACGAGCCCTTTCAGCGTGTCATGATGGGCTCTGTCATGTCCTGCATAATTTTTAGGCCTCTCATCTGTAAAACGGGGTTTAAAACTCCTTCATTTCACAGGAAGGCACTGAATTGGTAACGTCTGCAAAGCGCTTGTATCGCAGAGTATTATGTTGATGCTGATATTAATCTTAGGGCGGTTAAAAGAAATTTAGATTTAATGAAAATAATAATAATAAAAAAGATTCCGAGAAATCATGCTGTTGGCTTCTCACATTTGCCTCCAGGATCTTCTGCTTTTGTTTTTACTTTGCAGCAGCAATGAATAATACCAAGCGTTTTGCAAGTGTTCTCAGGGGTGTAGTTAGTCAAGAGTAAAAATTGAGCCGAAGCTGGCAGGTATCTCCAAGCTTTTGTGCAGAAGCTAAAGCTTTTGTTCCTTCAGGAATTGATCCTACTCTTTCTCTGGAAATGAATTTTACCTAACCAGGACAGCGATGCTCCTGATAAGAGCATCCAAATTCCATGATTATTCCTTATTACAGGAGAGCTCAGGGAAGGAGGTGGTTCCTTTCCAAGTTGACTGACTGTCTCCTTGACTTTCTCGGCGCGTCCCTGGGGCAGCTGGACCCGGAGCATCTTCCAGAGCCACTTACACAAGTCCGAGCTTGGCTCTGCGCTGACTTGCAGCTCCGGAGGATTCCAGTGCCTCGCGACGGGCTGACACACAATCTCCACACGCATCTCCCGTCTGTTTTAATGTGCATCCCTGATCCATAATGCATGCGCAGGCACGGAGATCCTTTCAGTGCCCGCTGAAAGCAGCCGGAGCTGCGATGGGAAGTGGCAGCTGTTTGACGAATGTAATCGAGTAGCTTCTGTGAAAAGGGCCAAAGAGAATTTCCTCTCTTTAAAACTGCTTAAAGCCAAGGCAGCCTTGCAAATATTTCTTGCTGGTGGGGACAGGGGCTGTGCTGCAAGACGAAAATGCCCCGTTTTGCAACTTGTTGGGCACTGAGAGAGCTGGAGAGGCACGTGGTGCCCGTGCAAGTGTTTTAGACTGGAGCACTTCTTTTATTGTGCAACTCTTTCTATTTTAAGGTCTTCTCCGTTGGCCTTTTGCTCTTATGAGCAGCAAAATTTATAATCCCTAATATTTCCCATACATGGCAAGGAATGTCTTCCTTCTGGCCCAAGTTTAGCCACAGATGAGATCCGCTTTGGGAAGGGTGTTATGCAAAAGCAGAGGGGAAGGAAGAGGAAACGCTACATGTGCAGCCTCCTCGCTTTGAAGTGCAGTTTTAATGATTCCCTCCTATTCACATCTTAATTATTTAGTTGGCAACGTGATCTTTGGGCTTGCGAGTCTTTCCAAGGCATAACCAGAGCTGCAAAGATACCTTGTTTGGATGGGAGGGGAGAGCATATGTTACTTTCAGTGCTGCATTTTAGGAATTGTTTGCAGTGACCTTCGGGTATCTGCAAACCTGAGATTTTGCTTTTATTTCATTGCATTCTGATATTAAAGCATGAAGACTGTCTTTAACAGGACCTCTACAGGTGTAGTTTAATAGGAAAAAACAGATAAGATGGAATTGCTCGTGCTTGCTGTTACTTATATTTGCCTCGAGAAGAAAAAATCTCACTGTATCCTTGAACGACTAAAGGCCTGATGAAAGGGCTATGCTGCCTTTTTATTGCAATTATTCCTTTAAAGTCAACAGCTTGCAAAGTTGCTATGTGACTGGGTTGTAGGATTGTACACGTTTGGAAAAGGTAACTCAAGTCATCTTTGAATGTGCATATTACCCCCCAAAAATCTCTGAGAAACAAGTGTTGAAGAGCAGGTGCTGCAAAACGAGGGTTCTGCCAAGTTTGGAGCAACAAAATTGCAGAGCAGATGCTGAAAAATTCCCCAGCATCTCCTTTTGCAGCTGAGTCTTCCCTTCCTCCTAGCCTGCCCCGGCAAGGCAGCGAATATCAAAGCATATTAAAACACCCGAGTTATTTGCATGGATGGGAGGAATGAAAGGAAAACTTGAGACCCAACCGCACATCTTCAGCCCGCAAATCCTGCTGGCTTTTTTCCACAGACCATAATCTTGGAAAAAGTGGAGGGATGTGAGCGGAGGAAGCCGAGGGGCTCCCCGCTTTTCCTGCTCGAGCTGAGATAACATCTCCCGCTGTTGGAACTTGCAGGGCTCCTGCAGGGAGTTTGATCCACCCCTTCATTTCGTTGGGTCTGTGGGGAGCGAGTGATGTTCCTTGGGGGAAAAAAAAAGGAGGGAGGGAAAATCCCAGCAAGCCAATGATGTCATGCCCGAGGCCTGTGTTTTAACAGCAGCTAATTTAGCTCCGGATAAGCCAGGGTTAAATCCGTGCAGCTTTCAAACTCCCGGATTCAGCAGAGCTTTGTTTCCTGCGTTTTCACACGCGGGATACGGGTGTGCGGCCGTCCGCTGCTTTCAGAGCGATTTGCCGCGGTTTCTGTCCTAAAGAATTTGTCCTGAGGTGCGAGAAAAGTCCTGTCAATTTGTCGCTGTGAACCCTGATGAATTTCTGGTTCTTTTTCAGGTTTGCTCGGAGACAGAATTGCAAAATAGGAGCGGCTTTTGGGGAGTTGCAGGACTTGGGAGCTGTGAATTTCTGGGTTTGGATCTTGGGTCTTTGCAGGTGTYGTCATTTCCCTGGCCCCGTTGATTTCCACAAAAGATACAGGAGCTCTCAGCTCTGCAGCAGTCTTAAATTTGGTTGAAATGGCCATTGACTTCACAGATTACTGAGAGCAGAGGCGGGTGAAGCCATCCTGCAAGTACATGTGTTGTTTTCCAAGCAAAACAGGCTAAAAAGCAGTGCAGAAAATCACATCTGTAATAGCTTGTTAGGTAACTCTTGCTCTGATTTGACTTTCTTCCTCTCCATACTCTCCATTTTCCCATTCTTGGAGGGCAGCAGGTTTGTTTGCTGGTGTTTTTTTAGGTTTTTGAGGTCCCCTTCCCCAGGTGGTTATGCACAAAACCAAAACCTTGCTGTTTTCACGTGGGTGACCTGTTTTTTGTGAGAAAGTTTGCTGTTTTGGGCACCTCTGACCCATGAAATGGCCTGTAACTGCTGACAGGAGGGAACTTTCAGTGGTGGGGCTGGAAGAGGGTGGTTTGAATCGACACCTCTTTTCTTGTTGTTATGATTTCTCTTCCTTTCCCTTATGTGATGCGAAAAAAAAAAATTTTGCTTTCCATGAGTGGGATTCACCCTTTTGACACCTCTGACCTGTGTGTCGGCTTATGATCTGAGAAGAGATAAGATGAGGTGGCAATTAAAGGCCTTACTTCTATTTTCTTTTCCTTTTCCATATAAGAAGCTAAAAAATCATGTTGCTCTTATAAGAATTGCACAAGGGTCTGGGAAACTGAAGGATTGTCCAGCAGTTGACAGGGTTTTTTTTTGTTTGTTTGTTTCTTTTGCTGGTTCTTTTTCTTCTTTACGCTTTACCTGCTGATTTGATGTTCTGCTCCCCCTCCTTGGCCTTATTTTCACATTAAATWAAGGAAATGAAGATGTTAATTTAACCCCTTCTCGAGGCAAGGAAAGCAGAGGCTCATAATGGCAATAGGAGAAAGGCTTGCTGAAAAGTGGGGCGGGAGGGGTTGTTTATAAATGCATTGTTTGAAGGTAATAAAGCCCTTATCTCTCTAATGAATGAGGCCTTAAGACAAAATTGAAGAGACATTGTTAATTTTGTGCTGTTATGGATGTCTTGAAATGATCTCCTGGGCTCTGGGCCATTGCCATACCCCTGGGATAATCTTTCTTAATCCGTCACAAATGAGATCCAAAAAATGAGACAATCTGGCCGAGGTTTCAACACAGATCAGCAGCCACGGGGCTGGTATCTGCTGGCATCGCTTGTTCCACAGGAGCTTGGCCCTGCGCAGGGATGGAGAAATTTTAAAACCAGGCAGCGACATCTCTTTCTCTAGGTTGGAATTACGGGATTAACACGTGGGTTTTGGGGCGTTTCTGCCAAATCACAAAGTGCTGAGGCCTCCAAATGAAGAAGTGGAGATGCAAAGAGGTGTGGGAGTGATGGCTTTTAAAGAAGTGGCGTAGTTTAGCATTAGCACATGCTTTTTGAGGGGCCRTTTTGGATCTCTGCTGGGTGAATACATAGCTGTTGCACTGTCCTGGAAAGATAAACTTGCATTTAATACCTGTGTTTATACACACTCGTCTAGGTGGGCAGGAAGAGTAATCACAAAGAAGTCTTAATTTAACCTTGCGGTTTAATTTACTTAAATTCAAGTCATTTGCAGAGTAGTGTCCCAAAATCTCCATGGTCTTTCTTCTATGAACAAGCCATTTGCTGATGGTTCCATCTTAAGAATTGCTGCAAAACTGGGAAACACTAGGAAAAACTAGGCAGAGCATCCTGACAGAAGGCTGTGGGGCTTTGCTTGGGTGAAATCCCCTCAACATCTTTTTCTTTTCTCCCATAAGAAGTTTTAGGCAGCCTGGTGGAGGTGAGGACAGCACCCRAGTGGGAGACGCCTCCCTGGGATTCTTTTACACAAATTTTGCTGTCTGCAGCWCAGCTGCTGCTTTGATTTTTCTTCCTCCTGTTCCTCCCTCTCGAGGTTTGCTCTTGTAGTCCCTGGGGAATAAAAGAGACGGTTCCAAAGCACCGATCGTCTCGCCCCAAGCAGGTATCTTGAAGCACTGCAGGCCCTCGATGGAAGGGGATGGGGACGAAATGGAAGGAGATGGGGAATGGATAGGGGACGTTCCAAAGAGTCTGATTTTCCAGGGAAAATTTATATGCTATTTATTCTGCAAAGTCCAACAGGGTCTTTTCTAGCTCAGCTTTTAACCACCTTGCTGAAGGCATGTGCCCGTTGCAGGGGAAATCTTCCAGAGGGATGTCCTCTCTCCATAGCTTGATGGAAAACCCTTTTTTCCCGGCTTGTTTTAACCCCATGTAGAGTGGGAGAGGACGATACTTGACCGCATAGGTAAATAATCCAGTGCTAAACGAAAAACAAGTTGTGCTTAAATTCCCAGGATGAAAAAAGCAGCAGGAAAGAGAGCAGAGAGGCTCTCCCAAGCAGTTATGCTCTGTCCCGAGTCCTAAAATTTTCGGTATGATCCGGCAAGSCCTTGGCTTTGCTGCTGGATTTTAATTAGCATTTAGATTGGCTGCCTGGAGGGAGCYGCTGGCCAGGGGCGATGGGGCTCCGAGGCTCGGGCCTCCCACCGCTCCCGCTGCGAGTCAGGGCATTTACATAAAAAACCATTAGCTCCGATCCTGATAAACATGAAAGGCATCCATTTCACTTAATTTTCTGACGAGGAGGCCTTGGTAGAAGCGTATTATAGTGCTGCAGTGGTGACATTTCTGCCCCTTTCCCTCCCTGCTGACCCCTTGCAGCTGCGATTYCCCAAACGGGCAGTTTTGTGGGGAGGGACACGGAGAGTTATTTCTGTTCCAATTTCCTGAAGGAGCCGGTTGTCTCGCGACGTGGCAGGGAATTATTTAATGCTCATCTTAAGAGGTGTCTCTATTAATTGAACAGGGATTTAATGTCTCCCTGAAGCATAATTGGGCTATGTGTGGAGTATATTAACACGTATGTCTTGCGGTGGGGTTTCTCTTTCCTCCGCGGCACAGCGTCATCCTAGGGGTAATCTTTTGCTTAATCAAAATGGGTTTAAGCAGAAGTTGAGTGGCTCCTTATTCTGGGATAAACTTTGAAACAAGACTTAGATGCAAGCCAGACACATCTAATCCCTCAAACCTATGTCTTGGCACGGTCATTTTGCATTGGCCAGTGCGGAAAGCTTCGGCTCACTGCTCCCTGTGTTCTGGTCTGTGCAGTGACATTTTAGTGTCCCAATATTCAACCTTAAATATTCTGAAATATTCTGAAATATGTCATGATGCACCATCCCCCAAGGAACTGCCTCCTTGCAGCTCTTGGGCCCGCTCTCATGAGTAAATGTCCCACTTTCCTCTTGGGATGGATCGGGACCAACGTTCCTGAGAGCCTCCTGGGGCAGTCACATCCCAAGCCGATTCCAAACACGACAATATTTCCTTAAAACTTTGGAACCTTGCTTTTCACGATTATTCTGTATGTACTTACTGTGTTTTTCCCTTTTCCCCAATAGGCTCCAGACAAATGAGCAGAGCTGGGTACAGAAGAGGGGCGGATTCCAATTGATCACCTCAGTCCGTAAGTAATTTCCCAACATTTCAAGGATGAGCCTTTCTTTGGTGCTTAACATTGCTTTAAAATTGCATTAAGCCTGTGTGGGTGGATGACACTGTCCAAGAAGCAGCCGCTGCCTTGACTTAATGCTGGTTTGGTTTTGGGAGGAGCAGATATTGAGTAGTTCCTTTTATCCAGAGTGGTTACTTCTGCTCACAGGCCACATTTCTCCTTATTAGCAGACTGCAAAACCGCTGCAATTCTGCCCAGTACCTGCTCCAGGCTGCAGCAAACAAACACAAAAGCTCTTGCCACAAAACCTGGCCGTGTGTCACACGTAGCTCCCTGTGCTGGGGAGCACGGGAGGCCCTACGGTTAGACGAGCAAAAAGCTCCTCTATCCCAGCTYGGAGCAGATGTTGAGCTGGAGGAGGAGGATGGAGAAGGATGAAGGACCTTCTACCGTGGATGTAGGAGTCGCTTGTAGAGGCATGCTGTGAAATYGGGCAAATGAGGAAGTATATTTGGATTTGTTCAGGAGCTGGGAAGAGACAGAGAGAACTCAAAAGTGTTGTCCAGACTGTGGTCAGGAAGGCATTTTCTTTTGCCCTGAAGGGAAAATCACCATTTCATGGGRAGGTTTTACACATTAAAATATCTTRCRCGCRCACTAATGGGCAGTAATAACCAGCCGACGCTTTATGAGATGTCTAGAAATATTTTAAGCCTGCTTCTGACTTTTAACTAATAAATTCTGGCTAATTGGGCCATCTTGACCTGCCTCCTGCAGTGATGTAGCCACCCCGAAATGGTAACTGCTTCTGTAGGTGTTTGGGAGTGGGAAGGACACTCGGCTTTGGGATAAGGACTGAGTGTGTGGGCAGAGCAGGTGAGAAAGGCAGCGGATTTGCCCTTTTCTCTGCAAAAAGAGCAACTTGAGGCTTATGTATTTGTGGTTTCTTAATTTTACTTAGCTGTTTGAGCAGTATAGCTTGATGTGCCAGACGTCTTTGGTTCATGGACTGCAGGATTCAGTCGTTTYGACTGAGTCGGGCAATGCACTGAGCACCGTGGGGTCTCCACTGAAATTTGGCTGTTGAACCAAACGTGACGACGACCAGGGAAACTGCAAGTGGCCGAGAGGRCAGGTGAAGAGCAAACGATGCTCTTATTGACCACCGGTGCCATCGTGCCCCAGCCTTAATYGACAGATCTGATCCCAATGTGGATTTAGAGTCGGATCTGCTGACTGCAGCAGCTGAAAGCAGTCGATACTGTTGAATTATCTTCCTCCTTGCACATCTTTTAAGCAGGACACAGTAAGTTGTAGCCTGGCAGCTGTGCAGGCTGCGGAGGTTTCCCTGAGGGCAGAATTTGGCCTGCGGAGCGTTTTTCTGCAGCTGGAGGCGTGTGCAGCAGGCTCAGCATTGACCTTGAGCACCTGAGCAGTGTTTGCAGGCTTGGGAGCTGCAGGAATGAGTGTGGGAGACGGGGATTTGGGGTTTGGGGTTCCTCTGCAAAGCAGAAGGTGRTGATTTAAGCAAGAAGAGTGTGAATCCGAATTTATATCGGTAGGAGATAGCAGAGCAAAGGGCTGTTCTTTGCAGAGAGMTGGTGATGGGGTGACATGCTGGAAACGAGATCTTTTTGTGATTGCCATAGTGCAGGGTTAGAAAATAATGCATTTCGAGGGAATCGTTAACGAGTCGTCCTTAGAGCAGACTGTCTCCATGGCACCACGTGCCTAAAAATCTGGCATAGGAATAAAGAGGAACGTATTTTTGGGAGACTTTTCCCCCAGCGTCACGTGAGGCTTTCTTTGGCAGCAAAGCTATTCCTTCCAGCCGATCCCACAGCCTTTTCCCCCTCAGGATGGATGTGTATSTGGTTGAGGGAATGGGAAGAGCCCCAAGGCAGCAGGGCTTCTGCTTTGCTCTGTGCTCCGCTACGCCATCAAAATCCTGCAAGAGGAGATTCCTCTCCCACCAAAGCAACTTGGTAACGGCCTGGAGGAGGAAACCTTTGCAGGGAGCAGCTTCATTAATGGCCAAGAGAGGGAACTGCTGCTTTATTGAATTGCACAGGAGTCCCTGAGGTGTGGGAGGCCCCAGGGCCATCCTGTCCCCAGCAGTGGCCTTGGGAAAGGTCCTGGAGGGGGGTGACTTTTCCTGCTCTGTTACTTCTCCAGAGGGAACGAAGCCTCCGGCAGTTGGCAGCTCTCTGAGCCAGGGAAGGTATTTTTGTAGTAAACAACCCTGGGGTTTTTTCCTCTCATCTATTTATTAAGTTGTTTTTTGAACCCCCATATGATTTTGGCCGCTTTCCTGCTGCAAGGCATTTCTCAGTTTAACAACAACCTTGTGCGTCGAACCACCTCCTCTTGGTCACTTTGAACCTGCTGCCAACTAGTTTAATTTAATAAACTCCTGCAGAGGGGATTGCTGGCATGTTTGCTATTTTGGGTTCTGTACATCCCTGCCGTGGCGCTCTCAGAGTCTATTTTCAGCTTAAAAAGTATAAATCTCATTTAAATGTGGAGAAAGTGCCTGTTTCTTTGACCATCCTCTTTCCTTTTGACAATTGTGGTTTTCCTCCTCTTGAAGGATCTTCAAGTCCTACTAGCAGCTTGAAAGAACCATGGGGCATTTTAGGGCCCATCCTCTTGTTTTGCATCTTAACTGTATTTATCACCTTGGAAAAAGAAAACAAGGGTTTTTGTGCGGATTGCAGGACCCTTTCCTTGAATAAGAAGTTTCCTTTCTCTTCCCCGGTCCTGGGAAGCCCAAGCGAAGTCCTCCTGGCTCTGGCCCAAGCAGGGAAGTTTCCTGGTGCTCTGATCTGTGGAGGGAGGGGATTGACTATGGAATTGTCCTATCCTTGCTCTGCAGAGTAATTGACTGCTGATTAGGGGGGAAATGCGGCTGAACAGTCGTGTCTGAGGTTATAAAGTCCTCTTGAAAAGGCACTTACTGATGGAGGTGGCTCCTCCATCAGCCCCTATTGAGGGAGCAGCTGTTTTTGCTCACAAAACCTTGTTTCTTCCTCCTTGAACTCCTTCCTCCTCCTGCTGCGACTCAGAGGAAGAAGAGCGGGAATCAGTGGTGCTTCTAGCGAAGCTCAGGACAAGAATATTAAAATTTTCCCTTCTGGAAGTGTGTTTTTTGGCTCCCTATCTGCAACGGGGTTSAGCCAAGTGCAAGTCAGGATGTTTTTCTTGCTGATGGCTGCAAGGTGCTTGTTTCCTAGGAACCCATTGCTGGGAAAATTATGCTTAAAATTTAGAGTGAAATGTTTTAAACCAGCAAAAACCTCTGCGTTCATGTGGTCCATTCCCCCTGCTCAAGCAAGATACCTACAGCAGGTTGTCCAAGATGTGTCCGGATGCTTCTGAGCATCTCCAAGGGACCCCACAACCAGGCCCTCATAAGAGATATCAGTAGGATGCTGCTGGCTGATGTTGGATATAATTTCAGTGCCGGAACAAATTTCTTAAATATTTAAAGAAAAAAGAGTCTGCATGAAAGCTGCGCTCTTGAAGCTGTGATTTGGAAAAAGAAAATGGGTCAGAAGTTGGCTACTAGCTATTAAACACTGAGCTTTGCTTAATAGTCTACATTAAAAGGATTAGATGTTGGCCTCAAACACAGTATTTGTGCTTTGCAGAAAGTTCTTTTAAATGGAGCAGAGGCTGAATAGGAAAGTCTGCCAGAAATCCCTGATGAGCATCAGCACAGAAAGAGCGACCTGGGGAAAGCACCACCTGGAGCTGGTGCTCGGAGAGGGTTTCCCTCTTCAGGAGGAGGTGGCAATGCAGAAAGCAGCTTGGGAAAGTGAGTGCTGAGATCGGATGCAATTGCTGTGCCTCTTGACTTTTTTATTTTTAAGTTCCTCTTGCCACTTTTCTCCTCCTCCTGCTGCTGTTCACTCTGAGCAAGTGTTCCCTTTGGGCTCTGTGAAAGGCTCTTTGATGCTGTCCGAGATGGATGATAAGAAAATGAGCAAAAATGAGCAAAGAGCAGCATAATTTATAGCACGTGAAGCGACTCTCCTCCGAGCACTAATGAGTGGTGACCCAAAGCCAGGGTAGTTGTAGGTTTTTTTCCCCCCTATCCCCCCAGTTCTTTGATCACTCCCCTCCATGGGCAGCCCGTTCTTCACCACCATTAGTTTTGTCCCACTTTTGTCTATGCTCCAAAGTTGAAGCACTTTGACTGTGATTGATGTCTGCTCCCGTAGAGTGAACAGGGCTAGAGGAGTATAAAAGCATTTATAAGAGTGTAACCTTCCTGGGCTGGAAGAGGAATAATGGGCATAAGTGAGATACAGCTTGGTAACCATCAAGCTATCTAAATTTAATGTGCTTGTGCATTATAGCTCGACCAATATAATGTGTAGCTGGCACTGAAGGGAAGGGCTTCAGCCTCCCGTTCCCACTGATCTTTTTTGTGCAGCTTCTCTTATACATCTGATTACTTCTTTCTCCAGGAAGAGATTTTTCTTTGAGCTCTGCTGTCCGGATCAGCTGGGTGTGGAACCGGGTTTGGAAGCAGGGGCAGAAATCTCCCYTTTTCAGCGGTTAGGTGAGCAGAGCTGCAGCAGGAAGCCAGATGATGTCCCACGTCCTGCTCATGCTGTCAGCATTTGCAGGTTATTTGCAGGTAGCTGTTTTKCCTTCCCTCCCGTGATAAATGTTATGGGGAAAACCATTATAAAATTGCTGCTTCCACATCCCATTATCCCCAGTTAAAACACCTCTCTTGCAAAGAGCTGCATTTCCTTCAGCATGAGGCACACCCGGCCCATGCTGCGCAACGCTCGGCGTGTGCTGGCCAGCTTAAAAATAAAAAATTAAAGCAAATTTGGTTTGCAGCTCCTGGCTGGGTGCTGCAGGATCCTTAATGGAGCTCGCTGGCAGTAAAGCACTCCCTCCCCACGATCCTTCCGGAGTCATTAGGAAGGATGATCTGGAAGGCTCTGTCGGGAGGGAAACGGCTGCTCCGTGTGACTGTGGTGCCTTTTTATGGG